CAAGCACAAAAAAAGGAAAAAAAAAAAACTTGAAATAATCCTTACATCACTCCCAACAAATGTAAATTCAATATTTAATCTCACATATCCACTACAACCAATATGATTAGCTTTATCAATTGAGCCAGGCATTCTATTTTTTGAGCAAAGGGAATGAAACATGAAAAACAAATAGCATTTTCAGTGAAAAAGATATATAATTTAAAGAACATGCTGCTCCATGTATTTTAAATGGATCATCCCAAGACAGTCATTGACTATGTTAGATTTTCCAGGGAACAAGATTTTCAATTGCCTTTTCTTCCCTTCACTCCTTTTTCACATATAATTTCGATAGATTGACTATATTGACCTGCCTATTCATTCCACAGGAAGAACGAAGACTATAAGAAAGATTCTGAATACTAAAATTGGTGTTAGTAGGAACCTGAGCACAAGTTAAAACAAACCTGATTTGAAAATACCAACAAAATAGACTTATTTCAATCCTTGAAAATTTTATCAACACACCTTTCAAACAAAATATAAGGCCAATTGTGACCAAAAGAATCTCTCAATTATTTTATTCATAAAATTTTCTATAGACCAAATAGGACCCATTTGGTTCATAGGAATAGAGATATGGAATTGGAAACAGAATGGGCCATTATGAATCCAACAGTTTGGTTGGGCAGAATCGGAATTCCATTCTCATTTAAGGGAATGACCATTATTCCCCCATTTAAGGGAATGACCATTATTCCCCCTCCCTCCTATGGGAATGAAATATGATGACGTGCAGATTTGCCTGCTTCCCTGTTGGAGAACAACTCAGACAAAACGTGCTGAGATCGGCGTGCCAATCTGTAAAAGTAGAATTAGATCAGAGTGTCCGAGGGTTTAGACACGGGGTGAGCAATTCGATGCTTAAATCAGCCGAGCTAATTGAGAGTAGAGAGCAAGAGAGTGGGAGCTAGTTTGCACTTAATTGCACATACCTTTGTGAATGAGAGTTGAGTCCTTTATATAGGCGTTGAAGTCTGAATCCTGTGTCTGAGACATCCAGGGACATCGGGCCTTGTCAGCCTTCTTTACTGAGGTAGTGTGTGTTGCCTTGTTGTCCCATTGGTTTCCTTAGGTCGGGTTACACGTGGTACATGATGCTGATGTGCTTCTGGGCAGTTTGGATGTGCCACGTATCGCTCCGTGACAAGTCAACCAAATTATCCCTCATCAAAATCCTATTCCAATTTTCATTCTGATTCCTGTCTGAACCAAATAGACTATGGGAATAGACCATTGTGATTCCAATTCCGAAAGATTTCAATTCCAATTCCAACTGTGAACCAAATAAACCCTTAAAAACGACTGATGTGAACAATTCTGAATTCCTATTCTCAAGGACCAGCAAATAAAACAACTTTAGCAAAAGGGCAAAGACAAAATTCTACTCTATAGTAGAATTGGTGACTCACTATGAGTTTCACAAAGGACACAATTCTACTCTATAGACACTCCCCTAGCAGCAATATTCTCCTTTGTACACACAAAATCTCTGCAAATTCTTCACAAGAAAAAGACTATAATTATGTTGAAACCTTCAATTTTCGAATGATTCTGAAACATTTCACTAAACAAGGGTGTAACTTTTGCTTTCTATTCCACCGAATTTTAAAAACAAATTACTTCATCAAAAATTTTCCAAACTTAGCACCCAACCATATAATTGAATATTTTTTCCTAGTCTTTGAAATTAAAATCATGAGTTTCTTGAAAGTGAACTTTTCATCTCATCATCAAATTATTGATCAATTAAATTCCCAACTTGAGATGCTTTTGGGCTAGTGATGAAAGCCATATAGGAGAAACATACCAGTTTCCATCCAAGGCAAGCTCCATATGTCGAGGTTTGAGTTCATAGAAAGTTAACAAGCTAAATTATTGATGCATATACATGCAAATACTAGTGGATAAATATATGTGCTCTGGTTCAGTTTTATAGGCATTTGTGTACTGAAAATGACAATAATCACATATTTTAAGACATATTTATATTCAAAATGAGAATAAAGTTGAATGCAAATTTTGCACTCAAAGTTGATTAATGTTAAAAGGTGGATTTCAATCTTAGAATTCATGTTTGTACCAAGGTTTAAAATGTTGGTATCTGTGGAAATGTCAGTTATCCAAATATGGGAAACATGTCAAAAATATTGTAAAAATTATAGTCATGATGGAAACATTATAAATATGTAAAATATAAAATGATAAAAGAAGCATAAATACATCCTTTTAAATTATTATCTTGTTCCAAATCATTAAACAAAGCTAAGAAACTAAGGTTATAGGAAAACAAATACATTCTAAAGTTGTCCTATAAACCTTAAGATTCAAAGTTTCATGATAGAATGAGTTAACAAAATTTGAATTCATAGAAAATGTAAATGGTTGTAATAGATCAATCAAATAATCTATTGCACAAAAAAACTAATATTTAACTTCATGCTTTATGTTTACAATGAATATTGAGCTAACTCAAAGTGGTAATCATGTAAGATAGGCAGACAATAACATTTTTACTCCAAATATCTATAAAATTGTCACCAACCTATGTTATAATACTATCTCTTACACTCGGCATATTGCTAGCAGTGTTTGTTGAGGAATATGTCAATTCTAGTAAAATTTAATGTCACTACTTATGAAAATAAAGATAGAAATATGTTGTCAAAGATATCTCTTGTACTCCACATAGCACTGGTAATGTTCATTGGAGAATGTGCTGATTCTGGTAAAATTTTGTGTTGCTACTCATGAAAATGGAAATGTGTCATGGAAATAGGAAAATTAGGGACATTTTAAACCATAATTTGTACCCATCACAACAAAACCATTTAGTAAGAATACAGAATATATCAATGCAAAACTAAACCAATTTTGTATTTTCGAAACTATGCATATTTGCACCTTTTGATCCCCCCCAAAAAAAAATCTAAATTAGGTGATTGTAAAACCTTTTCCAGAGAATTAAACAATAGAGATACAATGAGTTGAAGTAATTTACAACAATAAGGTGTGAGATAAAGCTTGGCTTTTCTTCCAAAACAAAGGCCAAAGTACTTAGTAGACAAATCAAGCTTATCGATCTTGAGAATCCTTTTCAAGAACTTTTACCAAAAGGGCAAAAATAAAGACTTCTTCTCAACACCTGTAAACCACATTTATATTAAAAAAAACCCTCAAATTTATTAGGGTTTGTTTGGTTCAAGGGATTTTTTTGGTATTTGGTGATACACACCACTAATAACTCCCCTCCCCAAATTTGGTGGTTGTAGGAATTGAATCTGTGTTTATGTTGGAGTGAACAAGCAAACATACCAACTGAGCCACCCCTCAGCTGGTTGATTCATGGGAATAGAGGTTTGGAATTGCAATCAGAATGGTCTATTCCGATTCCAAGTATTTGGTTGGATAGAATAGGAATATGATTCTCAATCTTGGTGCAGTGACATTCTCCCATTTAAGGGAATGGTCATTGGTCATTCCCTCTCCCTCCTGTGGAATGAAAATTACATTCCAGTCGATTCCTACTCCAATTATGATTCCAATTCCCATCTAAACCAAACAAGTAGGAGGAATAGATCTTGATTTTGATTCAGACAGATTTTGATTCCAATTTTGACCATAAACCAAACATACCCTTTGATGAGAGGTAACTTGGTCCTTAAATGATATCATAACATGTGACATTATAGAATAGTAGAGTGACACCTCGACACCATGTAAGCAGACCCCAAGAGCACTTTAGACACTTCACAACCGTCACAACAACGTTGGCACCACTCCGGTAGGCCAAATTGCGAAACAGCCAAAAAAGACCTCAGGTCGGCATAAGAAGCGACTTGCTTCCACCGGTCTAACCCGACTCTAGTTAGCGACCTACCTAACGTGCCGAGCAACCTCCCCCTTAAGTGGGCTATCGCCTCCAAATTCCCTAGGATCAGGATGCCATGTCGGAAGGGCGGGGTTATTTAAGCGGAGTCCACCTCCAGGCTTGAAAGCACCTCCGAACCAGACATGCCAAAGATGCTAGATGCATTTCGGGAGGCTCACGGTAGCTCCCCTATATAAGGGCCTCACTTCCAACCTCACAAGGTACACGCAATTTAGCTTTTTAAGCTCTCTTGCTTTATTGCAAACAATTTACCAGTTCGTTGACTTAAGCATCAGAGTTCCCACCCTAGGTCAAGCTACCCGAACACTTTGATATTTGTCTTTTTGCAGTTTGACCACACAACCTACTTAGTCCGACGTCCGAGCTATCTACCAACAGGGAGCACCAGATCGCTAGGGATGGCAATTTCCCCCATAAAACCGGGGGCCCGCCCCGCCCCAAATGGGGCGGGTTTTCCCCGGTCCTAAATGGGGACGAGACGGGGACAAAGAAAATATTTTTCTTCAAATTGGGGATGAGGGCGGGGATGGTTTTTGTATATAATTCCTTGAACCCGCGGTAAATTAGCAAAACATCTTTAGGTTTAATATTAGTATTTAAAATATCTCTAAGTTTTCCCTAAATTATTAAAAAACTAGAATCTCATAATTCTACTTTTAAGTACCTCTAAAGTATTTTAATTCAATTCCTAAAATACCCTAAAATTCTTATATTTTATATATAAATTGTTCACAAAATAGATAATTTTTAAGTAATTACCTTAAGAAAATTTAAGAATTCCCCATCATGATGGAAAATAGATGCCCTGCACTGGGGACAGGGGCAGAGGGGGTGCCCCGCCCCAACCCCACCCCGTTGCCATTCCTACAAGTTTGAATAAGTTGAAGGATTTGTGCTATGCGTTTGAAAATGTTTTGGCTTTATATTGGTTTGACAAGCAACACCTGTAACCAAAGACTCAACCTTTTTTTGGTTCAGTTTTGTTTTATCACAGCCAAAACATTTTCTGGATCTTACACATTGTTAAAGAAAAGAGTATTAGAAAATCGATGATATATGTTTCAAGATGAGCATTAGGTGTGCAATTTGGGCTGGTTGGCTTGAAGAAAACAAAAAAATTAAGGGCGATGGTGCGCGATGCTTGACTCTTCACCGCAAAGGAGCTTCTTTTAAAGTCGAGGAAAGGTCACTACAAACTGGGTAAGTTGGTAGGCCGTAATTTAAGTCTATAAACACGGACCTGGTATGTTAACTCACGGTTACGGACTCCCGGGTCAAGGCCCTTCATTGTAGCTTCTCGCTTCTAGACTCTCCAAAACAAGAGGTCACGTCGCAGCGACCTAGCAAGGTTTGAATTTCCCGGCAAACGTTTCGGACTCAGCGGTACCCTTCTCCGCATTTTCACTCCATTTAGTTGTTTGCTTATGTAAGTTACAATTGTAAATTGTCGTCGTTCATTCTTTCTTGCCTCGGCTGTACATCGATTCTTCTGGTTTGCTTCCCTAATTGTTGGTGATCCAATAATGTCATCTAAACTACTTCGAATTGCTGCCCATGAAGCCGAAAACCTAACCGAAGTCTCACTACGGGAAGACTTCGAGCTTCTAAAGCATAAGCTGAAACCCCCATTCCCTCTAACAATCCCTTCTCCAGAAGAGTATTTGCAGCTCAATCGGGCAATTCTTTTTGGACTGCTAACTGAGCCCCAACTCGCGAAAACCCATTCTACTCATTTACATGCCATTGTCACTGATGGGTATGGCTTTTTCGTTAGCTTGGTTCTGAAGCTGGTAACTGAGTCCTATCCGAAACTTCTCGAACCCGTCAGGGTTCAGTTGATATGGGTTACTTCGAAGTTGGTTGATGTTTCGGCGACTGGGGTTGATAATTTGTTAATCTCCCTGTTGAGACAGATAGTTGGTGGGGATTTTAGTGACGTAAACCTGTGGTTGGCTATGGAGATGCTTAAGGTTTTGTTGGGGCATTGGGATTGGTTACTAGGTGAACCATTACTTTTAACGAGTGCCTTGTTTACATATCTTCGATTACTAGCTGATCATTATAGGTTGTCGGGTCATCCAAAATTAGAGAAATTGAAGCGTATGGAGATTGATTTTTGTGTTAAAGTTTTGAGGGAACACTTCAATTTGTGCTTACAGATTGGAAGGGATTTGATTCGTCTTCTGCAGGACTTGTTTAATATTCCTGAGTTCCGGTCAATATGGAAGGACTTATTGTTGAATCCAGATGAATTTAGGGTTCCAGGATTTTCGGATATCACTCACCTGTACCACTTAAGGACTAAAAGTAGGTATCTTTTACTCCGGATCACACCAGAGATGGAGACCCAACTACGGTTCTTACTAACACATGTGAGATGGGGGAGTCAGAAGCGGTACCAGGCATGGTTTGCCAGAAAGTTCTTCTGTGGGCCTGAGAGAGAGACTCTTATACCTGACCTTATTCGGTTTATATGTTGTGCCCACCACCCTCCTAATGAAATTATCCAATCAAATATCATTCAAAGATGGGCCATCATTGGTTGGCTACTAAAATGTTGTAGGAAGAATCATGTGGAAGCGAATGCTAAGTTGGCTTTGTTCTTTGACTGGCTGTTCTTTGATGAGAGAGTAGATAATATTATGAATATTGAACCAGGGATCCTATTGATGGTAAACTCTATACCCAAATACGTTGACATGACTCACACCCTTCTTGAATTTCTGTTCCTGCTTGTGGATAACTATGATGTTGCACGGAAGGATGTCATAGTTCGTGGTGTCTCAATAGCTTTTGGTACACTTATCAGGAAAGGTGTTGTCCACTCTTTGGATACTTTAATCTCTTGCAATGCACTTTCTCCCCTTCTCAAAGAGAGGCTTGTAAGTATCTTCCCTAGTTCTAAATCGGGGGCTTCTAAAGTATTAAATCCAGCTTGCCTTCCTCATTGTTCCCTTTCTCCCTTGACTTTGCCAAGCCCACCTAACACAAGAAGCCAGCTATCATTGTCAAAGGAGCTGAAGACACCTGCATCCACTAGAGAAGAAGGATTGAAGAACAAAGTTATTGACACTTACAGTTGTGTTTTAGATAGTCCACTTTCAAATTGCAGCACAGTTGTTAAAAGTAGTGAAAGTCAGGATGACATCATATTTAACTTGGTTCAGAATCTTGGGGAGTCCATTAAACAGTCATACAAAGTTGGCCTTCAAACTCTGGATAAGATACTTGTTTTATTTGCAAATCTTGGTAGTGAAATGCTTGATATTGCCTTCAGGTGTGATTCTGTTCTTACTGTGGAAGCATTAGCATGTCGAATAACTGATGCATTCAAACTGCAGAATTATAAAATGTTTTCTCCTCTTGATTCTCCATCAATTGATTCCAATTTCGATGATGAAATCGAATCTGCAACAGCAGTAGTTATTCGTAACTATATATTTTCTCAGAATGAAAGGATGCAAAAAATGATTTTGTTTTGGTTAGAAAATGATTGCCCTGTGGGGGCACGCTTACTATCTTATGCATCAAGACTTGCTTATGAGGTGAACTTGATGGGTTGCACAATGGATCCAATAGATACAAATAATTCTGTTGATTTAAGTGGTCCAGAGATATCTTTATTGAAATGTCATGTTGATGAGTATGTTTCTTTTAGGAGCAGTGTACAAAAAGGCTCTCTTGATGCCCCTGTTTCTATCTCTACAGTGAATGGTGGATTAGTTACTAGTTTGGTAGAAGATGCTTTTTCTGCATACAGATGTTACCTTGTGTTTTCGCAAAACATTTTACATAAAGAAGAAGATGGAGCTCTAGGTAAACTCCTTTTTTCTGACTTAAAATCCTGTTGTGGGTGGATAAGGAAACGATTAAAATCCCTTTTCTGCAGTACGTTTTCATATCTTTCTGATTTATCTACTGGTGAGGAAGATATCATTCAATTACTTGTGGAGCAGTTGGATCATGTTGATGTGGTTGGCATGCAATTTGATCTTGGATTGAAGAAATTCTTTATGTTTGGACTGGACAGTAATATTATATCTCACCTTGTCAAGAGCTCTCTAAGTTGGGGATTTGTGGAACAGCAGAAACTTTGGCTTTTGATGAGATCAGAATTTGCAGTCTCCAAGCTGCAGGTCAATAAAGTTGTTTTGGACTTTTTCTCTTCAGGTGTCTTAGATCCAAAAGTACATTCCATTGCAGCAGGAGGCCTTCTCATGCTATGTAGTTGTTGTGCTCCAACACCTGAGCTTGTTGGCACAATGATTTCATTGCCTAATGGTATTTTCCAGGACTTTGCAGCTACAGTTTTGGCCAGTTGGGCTGTCTCAAATGCCATGATGCTGTTTGATAGTTTAGCCAATTGTTTGGAGAAAGCCAATAACAAGAATGAAGATGTTGCTCATATTAATTCAGGTGGGATGAGAATAAACCATTCTTCCATTCTGAAGTTGTTGAGTTTTCTCAATAAAGAGGGGATGAGAAGCATAAGTTTTCCAAACAAGGAGTTTGTGAGCATTCCAGAAATAAGAGCAATAGTAACAGCTGCATCAGTGGCACAGGAAAGTGGATAATGCTTCTACCAGAAAAAGGGTGAGTGTGTGATCTGATTTCTTCATGATGTTATCAGTTTCAGATTTTTGCAAGATTTTGATATATTAATAGCACTGTTCATGTGGTAATTATTTGTATTGTTTTCTCATAGTCATCCTCTTGGATGTAGGATATCTACTATTTTCTGCATTTGATAAAGCTCTTTGGATTGCTGTTGCTCACCAAATACATATTCTTAAAAGCATTTGGCAGGAGTGTAATTATTCTTATGCAATATGATTTAGAGAGGATGTCTCTGGGGAGGCTTTTTCTTGTATGTTCTCCTTCTTGGATTTTCCTGAACTTTGTTCTCAATCCTATATGGGCAAAATTGTTACTTATACTGATGGGACCAGAAGAAAAAGATTTGATAATATATCAAGGGTTTAAAAAGAAGTGCTAAGTAAATTATGACAGTCCATGTGCATAAAAAAATACATGGTGGATCTAAGATTTTTAATATTAAAATGCGTTTTACTGTTTCTAGGTAACTGATTTATATTGAATCTTTTTTTTTTTTTGATAAATAGTGGAATTAAAGATTAACTTTTGCTTCACCTGACTTTTGCCATATCTTGAATTGCTAAATAGGTGCAATTAGAGAAACTTTCATCGACTCTAAGAAATGTTATGCCTTCTCTTTCTAGGTGAGGTTCAGATAAGCCCTACATTTTGGCTCCATCTTTTGTATTCTGCTTTCCTTTAATTCTCTCTCTCCCTTACTTTTTGGAACTGCAATCAGGCATATGTCTAATCCAAATTGCATTACAAGTTTCAGCATCTTTTCTATGTCAAGTTCAATCTCATAATGATAAACTACTTTGGTTAATACTTTTCTGATGGGTAATAAGAAACTAATGCTAAAAAAAGAGAGGTAAGAAAATATTTTGATTGATGTATCTTCTTTATTATTATATGAGATGTACATTCCTGATTTAAGGGGCCTCAAGATGTGGGCTTTGTGATTATATTTGCAAGCATGAACCTCAAGATGTAAGCATTCTAAAAGCTCACAAAACTACAAAGTGTTATTTTTATCCATTCTTGTAATATGTTGCATTTTCTTTTGGTCTCATTGCTCTTGGTTGTGTTGCTTTGGCATTTTAAGGAAGGAAAAAGTGATGATAAACTGTAATATTATTTAATTGTAGAAATATTTTGACTGCTTATGAAATTCAAACATTGTTTTTATTGGAACAACATGATACGAATCAGTTTTTATTTTTTTCTTCCTTTTTTCATTTTGTTTTAAGTTGAACATATCTTTAAATGAAGCTGTTGTTGACCTGAGTTTCTGGTTCTTGTATGGCAGACCAATGGAATATCTTGAAGTTTACTAGTTGAACACTATAAATTTTATCTTTTCGAAAAAAAAAAAGGAAAACATAAAGTTTTGTTCATGGTAGGAAAAATACCACCTGTTGTAAGAAAGCTTACTACAATGTAAGAGGTCTCTGATCAAGAAATAAGAAATCAGCATTCAGACCTTAGTACCCTCAAACTTTGTACAAAAGATGACGAGTGGAACAATGAGGAGAGATATTGTTTTTCAGAAAGGGAGAGAAATTCAAAATGGTTTTGGGCTCAATTTTTCTGTTTCCTTTCCTTTGGTCCTATCCAAGTTTACAGAGTACACTAGAAAACTAAATTGGTCTATCTTGAATAAAGCTTAATGTTATTGATAAAAAAAAAAGAAAACTAAATTGGTCAGGACCTAACTATAGGACATTAAGAATAAAAATAAAACAGAAAAACAGAAAACAATATGTCGTGCATCCATGAACTGTTCTGAGGTGTTAAGTGGAAAGTGAGAAATATGAGATGATCTGTGACTGAGATGTTTATGAACTCTTGAAGTTTTCCGCTGATGTGGAAATGTACAAATGGTTCCTATGTGAAACTGTCCAGAGTACTGAAAATTGTGTTGTTATCTTATATATAATCTTATAGTAAATGAGTGGGCGACATACATGGCCACTTGGTTTTCCTGGAAGGTGGGTGACATGGTTGCTCAGTTTGTCTGTAAATAGTATAGATGTGTGTGGTATTCAGTTGGTCGCTCACATTATTATACATGTATGTGCAGGTCAAACCACTCCTAACTGTCTCACATGTTTTCCAGTGTCAACACTGTCAACTCAGAATCTCAGATCTTGTGAGTATAGTTCGTCACACAAGAAAGTCTTGATAATTCTTGGTAAGTACATTTCTGCCAAGGAAACCTAACTTTCCTGAGAGGAAAGAGGAGAGAGAAATTGGAGAAAGGGGAAATCAAAGCTAGAGAGGAAAATATGTAAGAGAGGTCAATAACATGTTCATCTTTGTTGGTACAATCAACACTTCATCCCTGTTGACAAGGGCAAGGTAAGGTTTCTGCATTTCTTACTTCTTATTGCTGGTAAGGAAGGCAGAAGGATGGTGTCTGGTAAATAAAAGTAGTTTCCTTTCTGCAGTGCTCTCTTTCTGTTTGGTTGAAGAAGACCAGAAGTGTTCTCATGGACTCTAGAACTATTTGTAAGGATATCATCACTGGTTTGGCAGCCATAGTGAGTTCTTTGGTATCATCTTCTTTCCCACTTGTATTTTTTATTTCTTTATATATTGGCTTTTCATTTCAAGAAGTCTTGGCAGATCTCAGCCTTTTAATATTTCCATGTAGATTTTCTTTAAAGCTTTTGTCTGCCCAACATGAATGTTGAATACTATGTGGTTTGAGTAACAAATGTTAAATATCTTTCTGTTGAGATTGTGATTTTTCTCTTTTATTAATAACAAAATGTGGGTACATAGAAAGAACATTAGATGCATTCTGTTTATTTTTTTTGTTGTGCTAAAAAATAATTGTTGATCCTGTGCAAACTTTATTATGTGGCTTGGTTAACAATTGTTTCTTTTTTTGATAATGTGTTGACCCTTTTAAGGATGTCTAATATGCTGATTTTTTTTTTGAGCAAAGGTAACTTTGATTGAATAAACAGGAAAAAGTACATGAGTGAATGTACTGAAAGCTAAAGCAGCTGAGGCAGAACTATAGAGGTAAGCAGAAGTCACTATACAAGCTTTCCCTAAAAACCCCTGATTTTGCAAGGCTGTCTGCAACAGTGCTTTGCTCCCTAGGAATCCAGACCAGATTTACATTCAATGACTCTAAGATATCTCGAGCTTCAGCTAGCAGATGTGCAAGTCTCCAAGGCCCTCCTTCCTTCTCCCTTAGCCAGGCTATAGTATTTGCAAAGTCCCCTTTTATAGTTAAGGAGCAAAAGCCTAGCTGTTTAGCAAGCCGAGTTCTTGATAAGTGCTGACAAGACCTCTGCTTTTGTAGCATCAGCCTTCCCAGTTGGACCACTATAAGCCCAGCTGATCCCCCTCTCCCCACGGAAGACACCACCAATTCCTGCTTGGCTGGTAGATCCTTGGGCACTGCTATCAAAGATTAGGGTCATCCCACCATCTTCCCTAACAAGGCTTCTCATGGTCGATTCAGATCTAGGAGAGGACTGCAGGATGGCTGGAAGGTTACTTTGGAGGTCATTTAGAGACAGACCTTTGAAAGCTTCAGAATTAACCACCCAAAGGTTACAGAGGAAAGTTATGTAGGAGATTAGATCTTCCACATTTCTGAATTTGTTTTTAAAGGTTCTGTTATTCCTTTCTTCCCAAATACCCCAAAGGACTGCATGCGTCAGTGTACTCCAATATACCCTTCCTCTTTTTCCTAGATCTTTGCCTTTCCACTGCCACAGGAGGTCCACCACCTTCTCAGGGAAAACCCAGCTGTAACCAACTTAGTTTAGGAAGAAACACCAAACCTTCCTAGTGACAGGACAGTGGAGAAGAATGTGATTAGCTGTCTCACCATCACCAAGGCAAAGAGGACAAACATGAGGGGAGTACATAACCTTCCTCTAAGTTTTTTCTGTATCAAGTCACAAGTATTTATTTTCTTTAAGCAGGCTTCCCAGACAAAGAAGGAAACTCTAGAGGGAACATGTGAACACCAAACGTTCTTAACCAGGAAGGGAGTGATCTGATCTTCTGAAACTAGAGCCTTAAAAAGGGAGTTAGTTGAGAACTTGCCGGCAGGATTAAGTTTCTAGATCCTTTGGTCAGGGGAGGCCGGAGAGATTTAAGCCTCACTCAGAGAGTTTAGCAAGTTTGCTATTTCAGCAAGCTCTATCTCACTTAAAGGCCTTCTAAGGTTCAGATTCCAATCGGTTCTTGAGGGAGAGTGGCTGAGGCTATAGGCTACCGTGGCTTCTTTGGAGCAGGACAGGTTAAAAATTCTAGGGTAGGGGTTTGCAAGGGTGTCCTCTCCCCACCAGAAATCAATCCAGAATTTGGTTCTATTCCCATTTCCCACCTGGTATCTTACAAAATCAATAAAGAGGTCATACACAACCATTGGCATGTCTTCCGTGCTTGCTCTTGATGATTTTTGTCTGCAACGCTTCCATCTCCAAGGGGAACCTCCACAACCAATTTCCAAGAAGAGCTAGGTTCCTTTCTTTAATATGTTACTAGGAGACTGTTTACCTTGAATGATATACCAAATGCCTGGTACATTGTTGTCAAAAAGTCGACAGTTTTCCTGCTGTTTCAATCATATTTCCTTCCCAAGTTTGCTAATCGTTTTGATTTCTAATGTGTAGTTTTAATTAGTAATATATCTGGAGTTCTGAATTGTAGATTATTACATATAATTGAGGAACAAGATCTACCATCAAATAGGTTTCACCTAGGAGATCATGTAGGCTAATTTAAATATGATTGTGCAATTGCTGCTTGCAGTTGAGTATGGAAATCTACCTTCTATGTATTAATGAACAACATGGAATCTAAATAACACATTAACAAACAAGAAATTAAAAATAAAAAATCCAATAAAGCAAATCATTCGAAAGTTATCTTTCTTGGAAATTTTCTTCGAAGGGCTTTTTGCTTCTTAAAAGTTATAATGATATTGCAAAACATACTTATCAGAAAAAAATGATATTGCTAAAATTAATCAAACAGGATTTTTTTTTTTAATTTTCAAAAAAGGAATTTTATACATAGCATCTCCATTATTAATCAATTTTTTTCTTTGATGTTGTTGGTGTTCCAGGGTCTTTGATCTTCATTTGCTTGCAAGTAACTGGAATCTTTCTTTCAGTATTTCCTGTCCAAGAATGTTGAGCAGAATGGAAGTATTGACTCCTCCCAAGGCTGGAACAACAGTAGACTTTAACAGAACCGTGGACTTAAATCTTGATGATTCAGCTCTCCTAGATTTCTTCACCTATTAAGAAGTCTGAAGTAATTTTTCTAAGGTCAAAGAGCTTGATCGACTTTCACAGAATCGTGGACTTAAATCTTGATGATCCAGCTCTCTTAGATTTCTTCACCTATTAAGAAGTCTGAAGTAATTTTTCTAAGGTCAAGGAGCTTGATCTCCTAGAATTTCAAGTTGTTGATAAAGGAGTTGAGATTCAAGACAACAAGATGCAGAAGTAAAATCTGAAGAATCTCTAGACAAGAGGTTAGTTTCGAGTGACGTTTTTGAGGAAGTTGTGGAAGATCAAGTCCACGGGTTAAGTCCATCTGCTGGGTTTCAACTTTCAAGTAAGGTTTTTGGGTAAGTTGTGAGATTGGTCTCGAGTGAGGTCTTTGGCCCTGTCATTGGTATCATTCCACCTGTATCCATGGGAATCGGCCAATACCCAGCAGTATCAATTATGTATTTGATTGTATTGAATCAATATTCAATCATTACAATTGAAAAAACAATCGACATCGTGATCCATTTAGGGTCCGTTTGGTTGGCAATTGGAATCAGAGTCGGATGGTCTATTCCCATAATCTGTGAACAAAGAATAGTCATCTGTGGGCTGTTGGAAACTGTGCTCCTTGAGTTCAATTGTGAATTTTTCAAATCACATACGAGAGGCCTGTTTAAGGCCATATAAGCACAACCAACAAATTTTATAGGAAGACTTTTTCAAATCCTTGCGATATGTGCATGTAAACTTTTTCATGGTGGTCTCCATTCAAAAAAGCATTGTTAATGTCCAATTATCGGAGCGATCCGACTTTGATTGATGTAACTGTTAATAAACACCATACAATCGGTATTTTGGCCATAGGAGCATATGTATCAATAAACACCATTCCGTCAGCCTAGTATTTGACTTTGTAAATACACTTAGAGCCAATGGCCCATTTTCTTGGTGGAAGGTAAATACACCAGTCCGTCAGCCTAGGATTACATGCTGTTTTTGCAAAATTCTTTGGTTCACATTGTGCGTTATTGTCATAGTTTATTGTTTGAACTCTAGATGTGGGCGTAGTTGTGGGTTAATGGTCATCATTTAGCTAAGGTAATGGTATTACGGGTTCTAATTGGGGCTGATGGGCTTGGGATCGGAAGGGGAAATGGGACTCATCATTTAGCTGAGGTAACGGTCATACACCTTGAAACCTTTATGCACATATGAATAACCCACAAATATGCATTTGTGTGCCTGTGACATGAATTTGTCCCGAGAAGGTGAGGTATTTCGGGCAAAGCATAGACAATCAAATATTCTGAGATACGAATAAGATGGAGGTTTCTACAATAATACCTCAATAGGCACTTTGCCTGTTAAAATTGATGTAGACATGTAATTGATAAGGTAATAGGGGTGTTGATGGATTGGGTTGAACTATTCAGTTTACTTATTGATTAAATCGAAGCCAACCAACCCTGAAGCAAAACCAACTCAAACAGGAAGGGTCAGTTTATCGGTTTAGTCGGTTTTATATATATTTTAAACTAAAATATCTATATCTAAATATCTATTTATATTTAAGTTTATTTCTTTTTTTATGCAAAACCAATATATATATATATATATATATATATATATATTTAAATTGATTAGTTTTCTATGCAAAACTGATTTTTTTGTCAATATATATTTAAATTTATACAAAACTGAATTAAATATTATACTATTGTRTTATATTTGTATTGGTTTTGTGTTTTTAGTTTTTATCATAAATAACCATTTTTTTTTCAAAGTTCAAATAAAACACAAATAAAATATGTCAATATTTAACATATAAGGTAGGGACTAATTACTAATTACTTAAGCATATAGGATCAGTTCAGTTTGGTTTGATTTATGAAAACCAAAACCAAATCAAGTTGTCGGTTTATTTTCTTATACAAACTGAAACCGACTGGTGGTTTTAAAAAACCAACCAACTTGAGTTGGGTTGGGCCAGTTTGGTCAGTTTGACATTTAATGTGAACACCCCTATAAGATAAGTTGTAGTTAATACACACTCACCCTAAAATGTAATGGGAAGAGCAACTTGAAATCGAAGGGCAAGAGCAATTTCCAACAAATGTCTATGTTTAAGGTCAGTAATTCCGTTTTGTTGCGGAGTTTCAAGACATGATCTTTCATGAAATACCATGACTCATGAGTAGTTGACCCAAAGAGAAATGAGATAGAAAAAATGCATTGGGGGAAGCATGTTCCAGACGCTGGTACATAGCATGTAATCAAATGAGGGAAGAGGAACAAAAGAGGCGTGGACGATGGACGTGGGAGTTGGGTTGAGGAATCAAATAGTCTTTAGTAAATGAGTCAAGAACGATCTGATGCCCCGCTGTCAACAATCCAAGATGTATGTGAATTAAAAATAAGAGAAGCAACAACAATTCAGCAATGTTGGTTGTGTTGAGAGTTGGCTTGTCACCATTTAGGAGGGACAGTAATTGTTTGTATTGATCACGTAAATCTTGGAATTGGAGAGTTGTTAGACACGAAACAACTTGATCATTAGTGTTTGGAGTCGGAGCAACATGTGTTTCTTGGATCAACGTCCTTTGTCCCAGTTGGCCGGGTATCCAACCAATTTGAAGAAACGGTCTTTGGCGTGGGTGTTCTTGCAGTGGTCACAATGATATCTTTGCTCGTGAATTTAGATCAGAGGTGGGTTTGATCTTTATGAACGAACATTGCAGCAGCATCAAGATATTGGAGTCCCGGTTCTAAAATGAGTAACAAATGGCGTTTCTCTTGAACGATCAAGGCATATGTTCGATTAATATCAGGTATAGGCTCAGTACTCAATATGTTGGGTCTGATCGTGTTGAAGTTGCCATTTAATCCCATGAGGAGGAACTGATGTAGTTTCTCACATTCTTGTTTGGCCATGAATTCTTTGGCCACACCACAGCTGTAAATAGGGATAGAAGACGGAACAGATAGGTCGTCCTAGAGCCCTTTCAATGTAAAATAGGCTGAAACAGTTAGTGAACCTTGATTCAGAATGGCGATGTCACGCTTCAGGTGGTGTATTCTTGGGACGTTTCCTTGAAAGAAACAATCCTCAAGATCCTTCCAGAAGCCAAAGAGTTGAACAACCATGATATCACCATCCGTCAATAAAGACAAATTTAATTTTGCCTGAAGAGCATTTTGCATAGCACCACCAAATTGAGTAGCTTTCGCCAGTTCACGGTGCTGAAACAAGGATGGCACCTGGGTTGTCAGAAGTATGGAGAAAATACGGTGATTTCAGATCATTTCCGCAATTGACAAGCTTCAAGAAATCTTGAAAGAAACTCAGATTTACAGAGCTTGTGGCTCTGATACCATGACAGAGTGGAGCGGGAAGAAACAGGCGTGATTTCATTCATGAAACGTGTAATATACATAGTTACATATGTTGAACTCTAGAAGACTCGTACTTGAGTTAATCTCTAACTAATTATGCCAGCTAGCTAACGACAACATATGTCAAAGGAATTAAATGTTGGGCTCAAGATAGCTACAATGCCGAAATCAGAGCCCTTTTAGCTGAAGTTGAAGCAGACTCACTATTGAACATAACAAGATCATTGTGCATCATGACTCTGCCCAGCTTATCAGTCTTGTGAATAATGTAAGTGGTATCAATAGTTAACACGTGGATTGAACAACTGGAGTGGAATCATCAACAACTTGATCAACTTTTTTTTATCAAATATGTTTTGTCCATGTAAACAGGCAGTATAATCAGCCCACATTATGGCTCTTTTGGATTGTAAAGCTCAAGCATGTACTCTTTTCTATTTGATCAATGATATTCCTATTTTCTTTAAAAAAAGGCCAAAATTCAAGAATAATTCACAAGTTAATAGTTCTGAGTTCTGACATAAGGCCGGGTTGCTATTAAAAACTTAAGACTGACTTGAGATCCCTTTCACCCTCCATGCGTTATTTTTACTTGTGGCATTTGATTGTCACAATCCTAAATGGTCCATTTGGTAGAGGACTGTTGGGATTATAGTTGCAAAGTTGTAAGTGGGTCAGCAAGATAGATTCTTTCGATGTCATGGAATTGTGTTGAATCTGGTGACTCAAAGCTGCTGATTTCAAGTCTGCAATGTCAACTCGATCCTCCATGGAGACTAAGGATAGGATTATTCAGTAATGCTGGGAGCTGAGAGATCATTTCAATCTGCACTGCATTGTTCGAGCTGTGTTGATAAGCCGCTTGGAAAATCGACTTTACAGCTCATGTAAGTACATTTCTAGTCTTTTTATGGAACATGACTTTACGGGCATTCCGGGTTTCTCAGCTCATGATGCCAGAAGCCGCTGCGTAAATGCCCTCCCAAATGGGCACTAAGTAAAACGGTTTATGAATAATATCCCCACATGCTTCACTGCTTCTCTTTGTCAATTTTTTACTTTTCCCTATTGTTTAATAAGTTTCTTTATTTGGCAGAAAAGAGATCGCTACCTTTTACAAAAGTTAAAAATCTATTGTTTTATGGGGCAATTGGAAACCCAAGGAATGAAATCATTTCAGTTATCTGAAACATTTGAAACTGTAAGAACCAACGTGGTTCATTTCCCCGATAAAAATAAAATAGAAAGAAAGTTCAATGAAGGTGCTTTAGGATCTCAAAAAACGAAATCGTTTCTATGTTACATTAACATTCTGACATTTTTGGATGATCAAATGCCAAGGGGTAGTCAGTAGTGAAATGACTTAATAAAATGCCCGCTTCTAAAAATTCTGACATTTTTAGTTCCATATGGCTTGTAAATGCCCACTTGATATTTTGGCAATCTACAGTATAACGACAAAATCATGAAAAGGAATGAAATTTAATAGAATAAAAAACTGTGTAAGTCACAAGGTCACAACTAATGTCTCTAACTGGAATATGTAGATATTGCATCTATTGCCACAGTCCCGCATGTTTAAGCAAAGATTATTTGTTCTTGAGTTGTGAAAATGGGCAGCTATCTTGTTGGAACAGATATACAGCTAGTACTGAAATTAGTAAGATGAAAACTGCCATGAAAACATACTTGAAATTGAGCTGCCCTGCCTCTATTGTTCTCACAGTGTCGACCTTGGATGCTTCATTAGTGGCATTCCCTGTGGAACAGGCAGGGTCTACTTCAGTCTCATTTACAGATGTTGCTTTTGCTGGCTTCTCCACCTGAAAGAGCACAAGTTGGAGTAAATATACATTTTTTTTTCTTTTGAATCAGATAAGGTGGTATGAATATTTGAAAACTGTCAACACCCTTGGACCAAAAATGCCACTGACCACCTACCTACTTCATGCCTTCCTGGAAAGTCAAATCATCACGTTGCCTAGTTTCTTAAGTTGTTCCATTTTGGAAATTTAGGCTAATGACAAGTAGCATTATAATTGTGCAGAGTGTTGCAGTCCCCTTTTTGATGATTTTACCCAGGATAATGGCGAAATCTTGAAAAAAGTAAAACCAAGTTCAAGATAATTCAACAGTTGCCTGCTTGCTCTCTCCCAAATACAATGGTTAAGTTGATTCCAGCATAATTACTTGCAAAAAGTTGCTTGAAACCAAGCACCTTACAGTAAATTAGCTAATCAGAATTCAAAAGTTGGCATAAGATTGTCAGGCAGGGGTTTTGTCATCAATACCAAGCAACCCTGGTCATAGATCAGAAAGAATAGGCTTGTGGCAAGATGCCATTGCTAGTAAATTCTAGCTGGAGAGTTGTGTTAGGAACTGCCTAACTCAGGGACTCTTTCGAGGGAGCCTGCCTCCTGAATGAGAGAGAGAGAGAGAGATTGTATTCCCAAATCGATAATCCCCTCCTAGCTTCCTTTCCTTATTTATA